CTAGCTGGATTACTTTTTTCCCCACAGAAGGTGGTCCCTTAAGTTATATTTCCTCTTTCCTCACTTGCAAAGTAAGGGTGTTGAGCCACCTAATTTTGGAGGCTCTTTTCAGCATCTGGAAATCTCTGTTGGTGAATGACCGGGTTGTCTCTTGGGACCACTGAGAAGGCTGAGGACATTTCCAGCTCCCCGTAGGTGACTGCATGATGGTGAGCAAGGATACACATCCTCATTCCTCACAACAATGAGAGGCCTAGGGCTCCAGTGCCAAAGCTTATGGGAATAAAACTTTTTTTAAAAATTGTTTTTATTGTGGTAAAATATACATGCCATAAAAGCATTTTAACCATTTTTATTTTATTATTTTTTAAAATGTATTTATTTTATTTATTTATTTTTGGCTGCATTGGGTCTTCGTTGCTGCACACGGGCTTTCTCTAGTTGTGGCGAGCGGGGGCTACTGTTTGCTGTGGTGAGCGGGCTTCTCACTGCAGTGGCTTCTCTTGTTGTGGAGCATGGGCTCTAGGTGTGCGGGCTTCAGTAGTTGTGGCACGTGGGCTCAGTAGTTGTGGCACACAGGCTCTAGAGTGCAGGCTCAGTAGTTGTGGCGCACGGGCTTAGTTGCTCTGCGGCATGTGGGATCTTCCCGGACCAGGGCTCGAACCTGTGCCCCTGCGTTGGCAGACGGATTCTTAACCACTGTGCCACCAGGGAAGCCCTTAACCATTTTTAAGTGTATAATTCAGTGGCATAAATCCATGCACAGTGTTGCTCAACCATGTACAGAATTGTTTCACCCTCTCATGCTGAAACTCTGTACCCAATCAACACGAACTCCCCTGTCCCTTCTCTCAGCTCCTCATAACCTCCGTTCCACTCTCTGTGTCTATGAGTTTGCCCATTCTAGGTACCCCATTCAATTGGAGTCATATAATATTTTTCCTTTTGTGTCTGGCTTATTTCACTCAGGATGTTTTCAAGATTCATCCATGCTGTAGCATGTGTCAGTACTTCATTCCTTTTTTGGGCCGAATACTATTCTTTTGTATGTCTATGTCACATTTTGTTTATCTTATTGTGTTTGGCTAGTGTGAATAATGCTATCAAACTTGGTGTGGAAATAATACTTTTTGCACCCAGTTCATGCCTGACACCTTAGAATCATGAAATCGTTAGGGATTACCTATTGCTCATCTTATAGATAAAGAAACAAAGGCCCAGAAAGACCCACCCCTCACTCATGGCAGCCTTAACAGGAGACACCAGTACCATGAGATCTAAAACTTAGATTCACCATTTGGTGCAATCATGGTAAAATGAGTGCCCTGTTTTTTACAATCTTTGTTTGGTTTATCTGCAGCAGATAGGAGAGGTATGATTTTAAAATAACAGGACTTACTTTAATAGCTATCCAGTACTTGTCATACTAAGTGCTCAACTTACCTACTGTTTTACAACTAGCTTAAATTTAGCAGCACGCTATTTTGTTATGTTCACAAATTTGGGGGGTCTGGAATTTAGACAGAGTATGGCAGGGGTTGCCTGTCTCTGCTCCACAATGTCTCGGGCCTCAGTCGGGGAGACTCAAATACCTGGGAGCAACTTGAACAGCTGGGCACTAACATCATCTGAAATGTCTTTGCTCATATGTCGGATGCCTGAGCTGGAATGCCTCGAAGGCTGGGCTGTTGACTAGTGCATCTACACTTGACCTCTCCTTGTGTGCTGGGCTTCCTCATAACATGGTGGAACCAGGGTAATCATGCTTCTTACATGGCTGCTCAAGGCTATAAAAATGCGTATCCAGTCAACAAGGCAGGAATGGCATATGCCCTTTAGGACCTGGCCTTGGTAGTCACATAGTGCCACTTCCATTGAATTCTGTTGGTCAGAGAAGTCACAGGACTACTCACTTTCAAGGTAGGGGACACAAACCCCATCTTTCACGGGGAAAGTATCAAAGAAGTTGTGGCCATGATTTAAAACCACTGCAACAATGATATATAGAATGGATAAACAACGAGGTCCTACTGTGTAGCACAGGGAGCTACATTCAATATCCTGTGATAAACCATAATGGAAAAGAATATAAAAAAGAATATATGTGTGTGTATATATATATATATATATATATATGTATCTGAATCACTTTGTTGTACAGCAGAAGTTAACACAACATTGTAAATCAACTATATTTCAAAAAAAAAACCAAACCCACCGCACCTAGTGAATATTGCCCCCTTCAAAGGGGACACCAACTGAATACTGTCTCCATTGGGATACCACGTAACTGACCCAGTGCTACCGTCCTTGCTCACAACTTTCTAGGGTGCCCTTTTGGAAATCCAGCTAGACTCTACTGAATATCCTTTTGACTTACTGGTGCTGGTGAGTCTTTAAAGGTGGATTTGATTTGGGGAAAATCCAGTGATGGAGATGGACAGTTAACTGAAGATTCATCAAATATTTCGTGAACTACCAGTATGTGCTGGGCACTAGGGAGAGACACATCGATATATAGTTCATTTTTTAGTTAAAAACTACCAGACTTGGAGTGTGACCGCCTGCCCCGCCAAATCTAACCAGATTGATTGTCTCGTATGTCTAGCAAATGCTCATGAAGGTACTCCCCCAAAAGGAGCACATTCAGAACCACTTATATTTTGGGCAGTAGTCGTGCCCCCTCTCCACCCCACGTCTTTGAAAGAAAGCCATCACGTGAAGAGGTAAATTCTGGTGTGTTTGTTTAAAAGATCACGTCCCACTTTCTAAGTCATAATTTTCAGGAGGGTGGTAAGCTAACTGGACGAGAGCTATGACTCCATGCGCCTTTTTCTTCTGGAGTCATCCAAATGGTGGAGCTGTGAAAGGGAAAACAGGAATATGTGTTCTTCTACTCAGGCGATCACACCAGATCTGCTTAGGTCTCCTGTTGACTGTCAGGCAGCCTTCCTGAACATAGCCTTGGGGCTTTCATGTTTCACATATAAACGTTGTCAGGGAAGGCTTAATCACAGAAAGCCGTCTTCCTACAGACATCGGCCTGGCCTTGCTATCCGCTCCTCCTGTCCTAGAGGGCTGTTAGGTTGCCAAGGCAACCAGCAGTCCTCTGTGAAATGTTCCCAGCCTTTCCCATGAATACAGAATTTGAATCTGTAGCTTATCATCTGACTTTTTACATAAACGCACAGTAGGTTGAAGAGGGTAATTTCCACCTTGAAAACTAAGTGATAGCCTAGAGACCAGGCCAGTAAACAGGGCACACAGGGATGGCAAACCCTACACTTCCCCACCCTAAAAGTGATTGCCGTCTCTGTGGTTTTCAAGGGAGCTCAAGCTCTCTCACATTTTGTATCTGACTTGCCCAAAGACCCATGCCTGTGAAAGAACTGTTTAATGTGGGTATCTCTTCAACTATACCAACTTATCTCCTTCTTTTAAATGCCATAGAGTGGTCCAACTAATGTTCTGAGTATGAGTCCTAAATGAAATGGGGTCACAGAAAACAAAAAACTGGAAGAGCCAAGACACATGCTTTTCTAAGATGGCGACCTGGCTAGCACATTAGCCTGAGCTCTTGACCTGTATGATGCTTCTAGAAAAAAGGTGTTTCATTGTGCTAAGAGCACTGGGCTGAGAATGAGAGTCCTGGCCTTCTCTTACTGCATGACATTCTCATCCGAACCTCAGACACATCATCAATAAGATGGGAATCATAACATACTTCACAAGGTTGCTTTAAAAGTCCTTTGTAATATTTGATACAGTCTACAGATATTTTTTTAAAACCTCTAAGACTGTTCATTTTAAAAACAGTGTTAACCAAAATTTTCCAAGTAAAAAACAAAACAGGAAACCCCCAAATTATTTTTACAACTTAAGTCAAATACAAGATGGTTGAGATTCTCACAGATCTTGAACAAACTACCATCCTCTGAATATCAGAATCAGAAACTAAAATGCAGAGATTGATCCATAGGAATTAAGTATCTGTGAAACAGAACGGAAGGAGGCAGGGCACAACCTTTGAAAGAATGACACAGCCCGAGGACATGACATAAACTGATTAGAACCAAATGGGTCCAAGATGGTGGAGAAGTCAACTTCCACTAGACCTTGAGCCTCAGTATTCGCTCACATCAGCAAGCTAAATGACACACCCACAGGAGCCATGACAGTTCCAAGACACCATAAGGATCAAAAGTGGGCGGTGGCCCAATTCCTGGAAATCCCCGCCCCTTCCTAAAATAGCTGGAACACTCCTCCCACTCATTAGCCTATGAAATTACCCTCTCCTATAAAAACTGACAGCCCCATACCCTGGTGCCTTTCTCACCTTCTGAGATGGCCCACACTCTGTCTGTGGAGTGTGTTTCTCTCTAAATAAATCCACTTCTTACCTATCACTTGGTCTCTCAGTGAATTCTTTCTGCGATGAGACATCAAGAACCTGAGCTTCATTAAGTCCTGAAACCAGGTGTGTGATCTCAGTTGGAAGACTGTGCCAGCGTCTCAATACTGGACTGCCCAAGGGTCTTGGTTCTCCTTCTTTCTCTGTATTCTCATTTCCTTGGTGATCTCACATAATCCGTGGCTTTAAATACCGCGCATTTTCCCTATGCTGACAGCATCCAAATGTATATCTCCAGCTCAGACCTCTCTCCTAAATGCCAAGCTGAGATGTATCCACTTGGATGTCAAGGAGAAATTTCAAAGTTCACATGTTTAACACTGCTTCCACCCTTAGCATTCCCACATCCCAGTTAGTGGCAACTCCATGTTCCAAATGCAAAATACATTCTTCTATTTTTTTAATTTTTTTTATTTTTGGCTGTGTCAGGTCTTAGTTGTGGCGCGCGGGCTCAGCTGCCCCACAGCATGTGGGATCTTAGTTCCCCGACCAGGGATCAAACCAACATCCCCTGCATTGGAAGGTGGATTCTTAACCACTGGACCCCACCAGGGAAGCCCCCTGCCAAATATATTCTTGATTCCTTTATCTCACACACATCACGCAGCCATTAGGAAGTCGTGTTGGCTCTACCTTCAAAATATACCACGGATCTAAACACTTCTCACTCCCTTCCCTGTTACCGCTCTAGTTCACGCTGCCGCCCTCTCTCTCCTCAAGCACTGCTACAGCTACATCCTCCTCCTGGGTATCCCTGCATCCATCCTTTAGTCTACCATTGACACAGTTTACATTTATTTTCAACACATAAGTTAGATCATGTCACTTCTCTGTTCAAAGTTCTCCAATGGTTCCTCATTTCACACCGAGGAAAAGCCAAAGTCTTTACGATTGCTTCCATGTCAGACACTAAGGTCGGTTCCCCTGAGCTCCCTGAGCTCATTCCCCTGCCACTAACATCGTCCTCGCACCCGAGAATGCGCCCCTCTTTTCTACGGTGTAAGCTCTGTGAGGCAGGGAGCTTGGTATGTGCTGTTGTCTGTTGCATCCTAAACTAACGTTATGGAGCTTGGCATGGCGGCAGACCGCTGGGTAAGCATTTGCTGAATGGATGCGCGAATCAACGAACGCATAATTCTCAGGCATCCCTTGAAAACAGGGAAGGAGGGTGAATATCCTCACCTCTTTGACTCCAGAGCAGGGCTGGGCAACCTAGAGCCTTCAGGCCCAAATCAAGCCTGCCACCTGCTTTTGCAAATAAAGGTTTACTGTAACCATGGCCAAGCCCATTTGTTTGCATACTACCTGTGGCTGCTTACCCACACACTATACCAGCAGAGTTGAGCAGTTGCTACGGAAAGTGTACGGTCAACAAAGCCTAAAATATATACTATCTGGTTCTTTACAGAAAAAGTTTGCTGTCCCTTGATCTAGAGGGTGCAAACTGAAAGGGAGAATTCAGCTACTCCTTGCTGTTCATGCAAAAATCCAGCCACCAAACCCAAAGAATGAAACACACTCAGATTTGGGTGAGCCAGTCGGTCGGTAAGTACCATACAAATTCCACAACCTCACATTGGGGGAATGGCTAGCCTAGAAATGCTCCTATCCCACGCACAGGCAGTATTCGGTCTGTCAAGGTGGCAAAAAGTAGCCCTGTCTGCCCACACACATCACTAATGGGAAGATGAGGGAAGTTAGTCTATTTTTTTACATCTACATCCATTAATGTCTCAAGAGTTGAAAAATTTCCTGTAACTGCCTATTTTTAATCATGTTGCCACAGAAAGGTCATTTGTATCACATGCTTTGACTCAAAGACGCACTTCATTTCCTTAAAATAGAGTCAGCTCTCATCCACCTTGAAGACAGGGCTGCTCAGAACCCTGGCTGGCACAGTGGGTGGGCTGGGGGCTCAGCAGGTGCTGCTTCGGGATCAAACACCTGTGCCTGGAGGAGGCACAGGGGGCCTGTGGGACCCTGTCTGAATGAGGCCGTCCAGCAGGCGGGCCCTTGGCTGGAGGGCTTCCCTGGGAAGTTGTTGGTCACAGGATGACTCAGGTTTGGGACTGCTGTGGGCCTGTCCCGGCTTCCCTGGGGACTCCTGCGATGTGGAAGGACTCTGTATAGAGGAGGCGACTGAGAACTGGGCAAAGTCTAGAATATACCCTTGGTAATGGCTAGAATCACACCAACCTTCAGAGTAGCCGTGACCCCGGACCCATGAAATGTGGAATTTTGCTGCCTTTGCTCCAGTCACTGGGGAAAAACATTCCTACTTCTCAGGCAGAACTGTCCTATGGGCTGGGGTCCTCCCTTACGGAGAAAAATAAAAATCTGCAACGTGAATAAGAGAAACCTTCTGAGAAATGGAATATTTCCTACCCTATCAGTAAACAAAGGATGTCAGTCATCAGCGATTGCAGCCCTCCAGTGTGAGCTGGTAAGCCCTGAGGGAATTCAGGAAGGAAAGAATACCTGCCATCTAGCAGCCATCAGACTGCAGCCACTCCTTACCCTGAGGAAACGCAGGAGGTGAAAACACAGGATACTGGCCCAGATAGCTGAGATACTTATCAAAGGAATGATTTCAGTGAGCCCAGACTCTTGCGTCTTCCCATACATACAAAAGTGCTAAATTCCTTAATTTGGGATATCTGGTTTTCTTTAATTAACAATAATCTTTTGATGTTCCAACTACCTGCCCTTTGCTGCAAAACTCCTACATAACCTGGCTCCCCCCTCACCTCCTCGGAGCAGTCTCTCAGAGTTACTTGAGATGCTGCCTCCTGGGCTTGAAGTCCTAAGAATTCCCACCAAATAAAATATAACTCTCAGCTTTTAGGTTGTGTGTATTTTTTAAGTCGACATTGCGGGGGATCAATCAATCAAGTGGTCCCCAAAGACGGTGCCGGTCACTTTGTAAAACAAAACAAAACTCACTAGAATTCAATGCAAGGTGAGGACCTTCATTCAGGGGTAAATTCCACCTGATAGCCATGGAAAACGCCAGATTGAAAGTTGATTTGAGGAACACTCAGAATTGTTTGCATACTAGTAAGACAAGCCTTGATCCGCAGCAACCGATTTCTGAGCTCAGGTCCCTCTAGGTGGTGACGGGATCTTTATTCTTTGAAGAATGTTAAGACCTGGCTGGTTCTGTTAAGACTTATCTTATCCAAATCCAGAGAGCTGGGTTGTAGGAACCTCTAAACTTCTCTCCATGATTCCAGGAATGATTAAAGTGAAAAGGAAATTCAAGGACAAAGAACAGGCTGAGGGCCGTGGTGGATCTCTAGCCTTAGCCTCCCAGCTCCCTGCCCTGGAGCCTACGTCTCCCCAGGGCACAAATCAAGACCCAAGTGGCTACTGCCATTGTTATTAACAGCATTACTTACCTGGAGACGGCTTATCTTCTAACAGGAATGCTGGGGAATCAGAGGTGCTTCCGCAGGACATTTCAAAGGCACCTTGGACTAGACCTTTGCCAGGTGGCTGTCTCTTTTCCTCAGCTTGGATGAAGGGAGACGAATGAGGGGAAATAACTCAGTGGATGACTCTTTCTTGGATGCATTACCTGAAAGTCAAGAAGGGAATAATCCTGAGGCTCTGTTCTGACTACTTTTCAGGCTCCTCAAGGAAATAATAAGAATTCACAATAATCTACTAATTGATACAAAGGAAAGTTATTTCGTTGTGAGCCTGGACTTAGTATGTGTTAAATAACAGTGAAACCGTGCACCTCAGACTGGAACTTGAACCCACACAGGCGGGACTCGAACCCGGCCAACACCCAGTCTTCCAACTGAGATCACACACCTGGTTTCAGGACTTAATGAAGCTCAGGTTCTTGATGTCTCATCGCAGAAAGAATTCACTGAGAGACCAAGTGATAGGTAAGAAGTGGATTTATTTAGAGAGAAACACACTCCACAGACAGAGTGTGGGCCATCTCAGAAGGTGAGAAAGGCACCAGGGTATGGGGCTGTCAGTTTTTATAGGAGAGGGTAATTTCATAAGCTAATGAGTGGGAGGAGTGTTCCAGCTATTTTAGGAAGGGGCGGGGATTTCCAGGAATTGGGCCACCGCCCACTTTTGATCCTTATGGTGTCTTGGAACTGTCATGGCTCCTGTGGGTGTGTCATTTAGCTTGCTGATGTGAGCGAATACTGAGGCTCAAGGTCTAGTGGAAGTTGACTTCTCCACCATCTTGGACCCATTTGGTTCTAATCAGTTTATGTCATGTCCTCGGGCTGTGTCATTCTTTCAAAGGTTGTGCCCTGCCTCCTTCCCTCCTGTTTCTTTTTTTTTTTTTTTTTTTTTTACCGATACGCGGTCCTCTCACTGTTGTGGCCTCTCCCGTTGCGGAACACAGGCTCCAGACGCGCAGGCTCAGCGGCCATGGCTCACGGGCCCAGCCGCTCCGCGGCATGTGGGATTTTCCCGGACCGGGGCATGAACCCGCGTCCCCTGCATCGGCAGGCGGACTCTCAACCACTGCGCCACCAGGGAAGCCCCCTCCTGTTTCAATAGAGTTTACAACCTTTACAGAGTAAGTCACCAAACACTGTGAGGGGAGAAAGTAGAAAAGACCCATGAGGGAATACGCACAGGGATACACAGATAATTCTATTTTCCAAAAATATTTATTTGCCTGCACCAGCTCTTAGTTGTGGCACATGGGATATTTAGTTGTGGCATGTGGGATCTTAGATCCCCGACCAGGGATCGAACCCGGGTCCCCTGCATTGAGGGTGCATAGTCTTAGCCACTGGACCACCAGGGAATTCCCTCTATTTTTAAATAAGGTGTTGAAGTGTCAGTTGCCTTTGACCTCAGGAAAAATACCCATACACAAAGTCACATCGAATTTGGGCCTGAAACTAGAGTCCTCACATGATTACTTGAATGTACCCCATCACCTTCAACACCACAAGGGCAAGACCGCTACAGACGCTGCTGCCTGTGGGGGGCGCCTCCTCGCTCCTGGGAAGGTCACTGGCCCTCAGAGAAGGCCACCATAGCATTCAACACGAGCATTTTTTAAGGAATGGTGGCCTCTCCTAAAGACATCTCTCCCTGCAACGCCACCCTGTTTCTGTGCTCCCCCAGGTATTGATATATCTCGTCCAGCCCAGGTGCCAGAACCTTCTCTGGGGAAACCCAGCCCCTCCCCTAACGCGAAGGGAGTCCCTGTCCCTTTGGAATCTGGCAAACACAGCCGCCTGGGGCTGTGGCCACCTACTGGTGTGCTTCTGCTGGCTTCCAGGGGGCTGGGAAGTAACGAAGGAACAGGATGGGGCCTGTGGAGGGCTTACTTCCAAACCAGTCTCTCCACCAACAAACAGTGCTGCTGGCTGCCTGTGAAGTTTACCTCATTACCGTGAGAACTGCCTTCTTCGGAAAGTCACACTGTTCAGTCTCACAGGAGGAAGGGACATATCTCTAATCAACTTGACTTCTACCTACTGTGCCCATTTTAATTTCAAAACACACTCCCCTCCATCCAATTATCGGCGGTTCCTCTGAGTCCTCTGAAAGGCAGGCCCCAGCCCAAGATGGTAGGGGCATGTGGTCTCGGTTTTCCCACCACATAGGACTTTCTGTTTGTGTCCGGTGTCTCCTGACCACGCCCGGTTTGCCCTGAGTCCTGTGCTGACCTACAGGACGCAGGCCTGCCTGACTTCAGACTGTCTTCCTGGGTCTGGCTCCTGTCGGCTCCGTGCTGAGGTTTCTCCCCTGTGAGGCTGTCAGCTCCACCAGTCTCCCCGAGAACAAGCCTGCAAACAGTGCAGTGGGCATGCAGGCCCTGGATGTGGGTGAGGGCAGGAGAGGCCGGCAGCCGCCTTGGCTAGAGAAGAGCGGAGGTCCCCGCTCACCTCGTCATCTAGGCTGGAGTGGGGCTACCCCCTCCCAACTCAGATGTGACTGGAATCCTGGTACCTGTGAGCTGGAAGAAAACTTTGCTCATGAGTGAGTAAACCAAAGCCCACAGCTCAGGTCAAAGAGCTGAACTTGGCCTCTTGACTCTCAATCCACACTCTTTCCACTGCAGTGAACTGCCTCAAGCTTTCATTTCTGGTCAATTAATCTCTTCATTCTAAACTCTTCAGGCTCACAGAGGGAGAAAAATCTTCCAGTGGGTCCTCTGGAAGGGGTGGAGGGAGTTGGAGAGAGGCAAGGTGGGTTTCTTCCTGCTCTGTGCTAACCCCTGAAGAGCTCTTCTAAAGTCACCATCTCTGAGCCTGGCCCCAGCTGCCTGGCATCTCATACCTACCGTCCTGAGCTGGAGGCCTGGGAGCATTTCCCAGGTCTTGGCCGCTGTCCCAGGAGGAAGTGGGGCTTCATAGCTGGTGAGATAACATCAGTATTAAAAATGCCTTCTTAGTGATACGCTATGTCTGTTTCCTAGAGAATGACCCGTGTGCTCTTGGGGATCTACTAATATTTTCCTTGTCTGTCCTGTGACCCACGACCTTGCATGAACCTGGCTATGTGTTTCCCAGACTCCTGATTGCCCAGCAGATGACACCTTTGACCCACTGACCCCCTGGTCTTCTGTATGTCTCTGGCCTCACTCTGGACACTCATGCTCTGACTGCCCACATCTGGGTCCTCCTCCAGGCCTGCTCTGTACCTGTGTCTGCCTCTAGCACAGCTCTCCCTGCCCTGCCAAGTTCTGAGACCTGGTTGATCTCTATATGGGTTTAAACCAGCCTGACCTTAAATACAGAAGCCTGAGAAACAAGCTCGTTGCTGTTTTGCCCATGATTATGTCACTGTACAGTACCATGGAACCACCCTGCACAAAACTTGACATATGAAATGCAAACTTTCCAAGCAAATACACCAAGAGGTGTTTGAGATTTTTTTACAAAGAGACTGGAAACATTGAAAAGTTAGATTTGGAAGGGACATTAACAATATTTCAGTCCAGCATTTCCCAAAGTGAGTTATAGGAAAAACAAAGGAATATATGTTCATATATTATTCAATGAAAAAGACTTCTGTGCTCAAATGAATTGGGAAGACACGACATATGACAGCCCTCTCACAGGGATTAAAAATATATGTTAGCAAATTAAAGACTCTGGAAAATCCTCCCTCAGTGAAACCTCTTGAACTTTAACTCAATATTTCCCACGTTAATTTCAATATAGAATGCTCTCTCCTTCCATACATCTTAATCCTGTAGATCTAGTGTTCTGTGGATGATATGCCAGGAGATATGGCTGAAGTGAGTCCAAACCTTCTTCCAGCAGAGGAAGAGGGGCAGCCTTAATGTGGATTCGGAGGCTTGCTCAAGGTCACACACTTAGGATCAGGTAGAACTGTTTCCAGAACAGGACTTCCAAATTCCTATTCCAGTACTCTTTCCTCTAAACCCTGTTGATTCCTTTTTAACAAATGTATTCCTCTGAGAATTCCTCAAAATATTAAGCATTCTCGGTGCTCTTGAAATTAAATTCAAGGATCACAATCGTATTCACACAATGCTTCTGGAATATACATTTTTCATGAAGTGAGAAGAAAGCTTGCTTTTTTATTTAAGGCAACCAGTAGAGACTAGATTAACTATTCTCATTCACCACAGGGACTAGTTGGCAACACTGGTTATCAATCATTTAAAACAGCAGCTAGCTGTCTCCATAATTTGCATTTTTCAGGTTCCTGAGGCAGGGATTGGGACGAGGCACTTTTGTGATCTCTTTAGGCTCTTTGGTAAGTGATAATACAAATACAGAAAGTAGGGAAATCAAGGTAATGTTTCTTCAAACTGAGATTTCTTCTTTTTCTTTTTTTTTTTTTTTGGCGGTATCACTGTTGTGGCCTCTCCCGTTGTGGAGCACAGGCTCCGGACACGCAGGCTCAGCGGCCACGGCTCACAGGCCCAGCCGCTCCGCGGCACGCGGGATCCTCCCGGACTGGGGCACAAACCTGCGTCCCCTGCATCGGCAGGCAGACTCTCAACCACTGCGCCACCAGGGAAGCCCTCTTTTTTTTTTTTTTAATTCAAAATCTATCCTGGCAAATGCAAATTAAAGCAATGAGATACCATAGATACCATTTCGCATCTACTAGAATGGCTAAGGACAACAACAAATACCAAGTGCTGACACGGATGAGGCGCAACTAATTAGAAGCCTCAGACACTGCTGATGCGAATGCAAATGGTGCAGCCTCTTTGGAAAACAGTTTAGTAGTTTCTCATAAGGATAAACATTCACTTACTATATGACTCAGCCATTCCTAAGTATTACCCCAGAGAAATAAAAACTTACTTTCACATAAAAATTCGTATGCAAACATTTATAGAACCTTTCTTCATAAACTTATGTTCACATAAAAATTCGTATTCAGGGCTTCCCTCGTGGCTCAGTGGTTAAGAATCCACCTGCCAATGCAGGGGACACGGGCTCGAGCCCTGGTCCAGGAAGATCCCACATGCCACGGAACAACCAAGCCTGTGAGCCACAACTACTGAGCCCGTGTGCCACAACTACTGAGCCCATGTGCCACAACTACTGAAGCCTGCGTGCCTAGAGCCCATGCTCCACAACAAGAGAAGCCACCGCAATGAGAAGCCTGCACACCACGATGAAGAGTAGCCCCCGCTCGCCGCAACTAGAGAAAGCCCGCGCGCAGCGATGAAGACCCAACACAGCCAAAAATAAATATTAATTAATTAATTAATTTAAAAAATTCGTATGCAAATATTTATAGAACCTTTCTTGATAATTGCCAAACACTGGAAACAACCTAAATGTCCATCAACAGGTGAACGTATAAACAAACTCTCATAAATACATACAATGGAATACACCCCAGTAATAAAAAGGAATGAAGTTTTG